TTCATTTTCTGCATACATTGACGTTATTAATTTAAAAAATATTGCTTATTTAAGTCACAAATTTTGAGTATTATTTTTATAAAAATATTCGTCAAATTAACACATTATTCTATCACAGTTGATTATATATTTTTGCTTTCTTCACTACATTTATAATTTTTATTATTTTTGGTGAGTAAAAGAAAAAAATAAGCCAAATAACAAATATAGATATTATTGTTGCTATGGTGATGAGTTCTAACTAAACATTCAAATGAATGTGAGATGACAAACCTCATTAAAAATATTCACAAACAAATTTATTAAAGTAGTACTTAGTGATAATTTTTTTATTCGCTATCTCATAATATTCATATCCAAGTGTGAAAATTATTCCCGAAGAACTATGCTATTTAGGTAAACATTAAAGTGCTCATTTATTTATTATATTTTTATTTGCAATAATTTATTATCTTTAAATATTCAAATTATATACAAATTATTATCCCTGTGATAATAATCTGATTAGATCAAAAACTGACTATTTAAAATCACTTATTAAGAATAACAGGTCAAGTGTAATGGCCAATAAATAACTATACCCAAGCTAAAGAAGTTTTTAAAATTTAACACTTAATTGAATTCCTTGCTCCTACGTTTTATCTCAACAGAATTCAATTAATATACATTTAAATTAATTTTTTAAGCTTTTGTTTATTTATGTTTTTACAATTTTGGATTATTATGCGAGTTTTAATTATTACAGGAAACATCAACATTATTTTTCTAATTGCTTAACAGACGTGAATTCGTTTTGTAAATTCGATGGGAAAAGTGTAATGACATTTAAACAAATTATCTTGTTGATTTGATCTGAAATTCTTCTACTTTTTGGATATTTAAAGACTTAAATTATTGCAAATAAAAATATAATAAATGAATGAACAATTTTATGTTTACCAAAATAGCATAATTATTTGAGAATAATTTTCAATATTATAACAGAATCTTCATAGATTTCAAATGCTTTCAGGCAAAATTTTAAAAATCTGTGATAAAACTAAAAATCATAATTTCAAAAATATTGACATCTGCAAATGAATTAAGACAAGATTTAAGAATGTGTTTGAAGTGATCTGTTTAAAACAGATAATCATTACTTAAGCAAGTATTGCTTGGCAATCTATCTATTTAGATAAATACAAAAGTTTATCTACTTAAAAAGATTTTTTTGTCATCACTAATATGCTTTTGTAACTTTGTGAAAAGTGAAAAACAAAATAAAACCATAACAAAGTGACACTTATACTATACTTGGCACAAACTTTTGATCATTTTAGTTCTATAATAATAATATTTCAGACTTTTGATCATTATTACAATGTTAGTATCAGATATGGACAAAAATTATGTTATTGTTTTCGTAAATTGATTTAAATTATAATGTAATGTATTATTTTAGATACAGGTGGTCCTGTACTGGTTTCTGTAAATATCTATCTTCGATCTATATCGAAGATAGATGATGTTAACATGGAATATAGTGCACAGTTTACATTTCGTGAAGAATGGTATGATGCTCGATTAGCATATGAACGATTTGCTGATGACAATACAGAAGTTCCACCTTTTGTGGTACTTGCTACTAGTGAACAAGCTGATCTAACGCAACAGATTTGGATGCCAGACACATTTTTTCAAAATGAAAAGTTTGTTTAAAAATTTTGTCTAAAAAGTTGCATATAAATCATATTTAAAAGTCAAATAAAGCATTTTGCTTTGAAAAATTTTCAATTGATTTTGAATTTTTATACTGTATTTTAATTGAAATAATATTATTTTTTGTCTAATTTTATTACTTTTTTGTTTTTTATTTATTTGATTTTTGCTTCTATTGAAATTATTATAAATATAGAAAAGTTATTGTTACTGTTACTATATGATCATTATAACATTTACTGTTAATATCAGATGTTTGTTTATTACTAAAAATAATAATTGCCATG